TCTCAGCACTCCCCAGCCCTGGCAGCTGCCCACGCTCCCCAGGAGCTGCAGGAGAGCAGAATCCTCACTCCCCCACAGAGCTGTTCTCCCCCACGTCCCCTGCACATCGTGACACCGGAGCCCCCGGGTTCCTGCCCTAATTGGAGGCACCTGCTCTAATTCCAGCTCCCTGAGCACTGCCAGGGTGCAGCAGCTCTTTGTTCAGCCCCCAGCCCTGCTCTGCTGAGAGGTGGAGGGTAGGGATGTGTCAGGATCCTGGGCCACAATCCCATTGTTCTGCAGGGAACAACCCCCCCTCCTGAGCAGAGCAGCTTTTGATTTGCTAAATGATCCCTGCAAGATCTCGCTTCTTTTATCTTCATAATAAGTTCATCATCTGCACAGCTCCTTAAATGACACCTCACTTGCAGGTGAGCCCACTTAGAAGTGCTTAATTGGAAATAATCAAATGGGTTGCCAACGTTTAAATGCAGAATACAATAGCAGTGACAGGGAAGGGGCTGAAAAGGCTCTTACCCACCAAGAGATAAATAAGCTCTCCTATTATCACTCTTCACTGGAAAAAATAACTGAAAAAAACTCATTTAAGTGCATCTGCAAAAGATAACGTTTTCCCTACCACAATTCTGCAGCACAAATTATCCATGGAAAAATTTAAAAAATTAAAATCATAAAAAAAGCTGTCCAGGAGCTAAAAGAATGTACTTCCCGTTTGTGTTCAGTTCCTGGTTTGATCATACAAACACACAAAAATCAGGAAACACAAGGCACCACCACATGGAAAAAGGAGTGGTCCCAGTTCAGCTGCAAAACCTGCCAGAACACCTATAAATAACCACATTTAAGGTATTCTGCACCAATAAAACTTCCTGTACCACTCTGGTAGAACCTTTCACCCCTCTGCATGGCCAGGCTCACCCAAACCATGGATTTGCTGTTATTTATTTTACTTTTTACCAAGAAATCAGCAGCTGGAACATGAAGCAGCCCTGGACTCGCATCCCAGCCCAGCGACCCGTGCTCAGGACACCAAACGGCTCCGGGCTCTCAGATCTCCCAGCCCATGGCTAAAGCTTATCTCAACCTCAGCAGGGGTGGAAACAAAGAGAGGAACCCAGGGAACGCCTGAGCTGGGGCTGTGGGTGTGCTGGGGAGCAGCGCAGGAGCTGCGGGCTCTGCCGTGTCCCG